AAAAAAAAAATCAAAACTGCAAGGTTCAATAATATTCCATAAATATAAAATATTGTTTAAGGAAAAGTGTTTAACAATATATGTTTTCATTGTTTGTATTTTATTTCATTTCCATAATAAGATAAGTTGTGAAACTTATAAATAATTATTAAATAAAGTCTAAAAAATTTTTAAATACGAGCTCCCCTGTGCATTTGCACGAGATCTCGCACTAATATAAAAATAAATGAATCCATGAAAATCTATGTATTTTTTTCCAATTACTTCAAAAATTGAAGTCAAAACTCTTGTATTTAACAATTTATTTTTTGACCAAAAATTTTAATGTTAACAAAATTTATTTTGGAGCTAAACTTCATACTTTTTGAACGGGTAAAATATAAATATAAATGAATCCATGTAAATCTATTTGTTTTTTTTTTTTTTTTTTTTTTTTTCCAATTACTTCAAAAATTGAAGTCAAAACTCTTGTATTTAACTTATTTAATTTTTTGACAAAAAGTTTTAGTGGATCTAAACTGCATACTTTTTGAACGAGTAAAATATAAATAAAAATGAATCCATGTAAGTCTATGTGCTTTTTCCAGTTACTTCAAAAATTGAATCCATGTAATCAACCTTTCTCCTTGTTCGAACTCCGCCGCATCTGGATCTGGTCTCTTCACTTCACTTGGCCATCTACAAAACCGAGCTTCGTCTTTGCACGAAGCGCGACCGTCATAGCTCTCTGCCATGACTGATAGTTCGAACCAGGCAAAAAAGTCGAGACTAAAGCCATACCAGGATGATTGAAAACTGTGCATGAGAAAGGATCCTCCGGCCTCATAATCATTGATAGTCGATAAATTCGTAATTCTCATGTATTAAACTATGACTACATTTTCCCATAAACAGATGGACTATTTAAATACTTAACTACTATCAAATATTGTCCGGCGAGTTTCATTTCACGTGTCATTCGACAAAAAGACCTGCAATTTATGCTGAACTCACAAGACACATATATCTTTGTGCAATAGCAAAAACATAATTATGTCCAAATCAAAACATCAGAGGCTTGAATTTTTGGTAGAAAAAAGAAATGCTCATATCTACGCACTGATAGAATAGCCTATAGTGTTAGATAGTTTACCATGTGAACAAAAGAGCAACATACGGATTTTTCGATATCAGACATTAAAAATCTGGAATGAGTTGACCACGGTTTTCAGTCTGTCTTTCATTTTCTCCCATCTCCTCTCGTTCGCCCCTGTTGTCAGCGTGTAGAATTTGCCTGGAGATAAAATTTACCCCAAGTTTGTAAGCATAAATGCAGAAAAGAAAAAGGAAGAAATGAATGTTTTGACCAAAATTGTGCATTTTTTCGTACCATTGCCAATACAGATTGTGCTAAGAGCATGACGAGTGTAGTTTGGAGCTTGTGCGGTGAACTCGAAGGTGTAATATGCTTTTCCGTCCACTTCATGCTGCAAAATGAAAATAGAGAATTCAGCACATGAGAGAGGTTCATATTAAACTATCGATTCATCATATTAACGCAGAAGGAATCTATAAAAGAATACAAAATATTGTGTCGGATCATGCGGAAAATGTAGTGTAAAATTCAGCTTTTCAGCTATTCATTTCATTTTTTCTTCTCAGGATAGTTATTTTAAGCTGCACTTATTCAAAATTCAAACTGCAGTCGAGCATATACACCACATGTGGAACTGAAGAAGAAGATCTACCTCTGATGCCTCGATCAGTTTTGTCTTTTGTGAAGGAGAAGCCAAGACATTTTTTATTAAAGTTTCAGCAACCTAGACAGAAAATGCAAAACAGAAACTATGTTAAGCAGCCCCAGAATCTCATTATGACTAACAAATGATATCAAGTAACAATATGTCAGTAGTTCACAGCTGACAAAGAAGAAAGTTAGAGAAAGAATCTGTAACACACAGATCACAAAATACTCGAGCAAATGATATCAACTAACAATATGGCAGTAGTTCACACTTGACAAAGAAGAAAGTTCGAGAAAGAATTTGTAACACAGATTTTTATATAATACTCGAGAAATCAAATTTCTTAATACTTTGCTAACCTCCTTTGGAGGTCCAAAATCACGTATATCCTGCTTGGCAGTAGGAGTCATATTTACGCTGACACTTTCCAGAGGCTCAATCACATCTTTGAAGACTTTGTCCTGTCCTTCAACGATTACCTCCTGACTCATCAACAAAAAAGATAAGAGACCGAATCAGATGAATATGGCAAAAACGGAAAATGCTGTCAAGTAAATGGAAGTTAGGAGACCCACCTGCCATCCAAAGGGGTAAAGAAAATTGTATCCATCCTTCCTATCTGTGACCAATAGAAATCCCTTCTTTGTTTCTGCAGCAACTGAACCAACAGATAATTTGTCCTTTCAGCTCTAAACATGTCTCAAAACAACTGTTGATTTAGGATCTCACGGTTTAATTTTCAATTTGCTATTGTTTACTAATCTTCGACTAACTAAATTACAATGAGCCTAAGCAGTCAAACAAACACTAGAACTAAATAAGGACACTGGGGGTAATATGTTAGGTTTCTTCTGTGAATATACTAAAACGTCAATAAATTTAGGATGGGGGAAGAATAACTTAGAGCAATAATAAATGACCAGCATATAAGAACCTAGACATAAAAAAGGAAATCATGAGCTGTTTTAAGGCTCATATTGCATAGACAGAAAATTGGTCAAGTAGAAAAAAACCGAGCAGTTCCTCAAGAAAATGGCATACATGAAGTTGGAATCTGCTGACAAAAGAATAACCATGGGGCAATTGTTGTCCCGATGGCAAGAAGCTGGCGTCGGCCAGGTCCATCTGTCATAAACATAAAAAAGGCATGTTAATACAAGTTTTGCAAGTCTATTTATTCAATAAAAATTGGTAGAAATAAGTCCCCGCACAATAATAAAGGACGATTTGATATCTCTTACATGCATATACCCTGCTAGAATTACAAGAATTGGTGTAGGTTAAATAGAAAACATAACAAATACAGAGTCAAATTCTTCATATAGTATATCCATGTAATGGATATAAATAGAAGTTCAGAACAAAATGAGATTCCAATATGAGAGGAAACTTATCCCATTCTTCTTTAATGGTTGCTACTGACACTTCCATTGTTTCACATGCAAGTTTCTCTGCAATTCGACTAAATAGTTCACATTTACTACTTCGGATCCTTGTCAATGTTCAAGAGTTAATTGAAACGTGGGCATTTCTTGAATGTAACTACTGAGCATGACAAATAATTCATCTGAGATGCCAACTTAAACATGATCTAAGTCGGTGAGTCTCCATTTATCTTATCAAACGATTTAAATTTGAAAGTACCTTGACTAACAGGAGTTGAAGTTGAAGGCACTTTCTCAGACCTCACAATGAAGGTAACATTTCTTTGGAGACGACCGTGCTTATAAAAACCTAGCTGATGCACGAATTTTGATTTAGAAAAATATAACAATGGATGTTAACTGATGTTTCCAGTTAAGAAAGAGTAAAAAGTAAAACCTGAGAGGATGCATTTAGTAACTGTGTTTGATGGATTGCAGGCGATGTAAGCAAAAACACCATATCTGCCTCAAACAAAGAAGAGAAAAATAATCTGACCAGATGGCAACTAATTTACTTCAGTCATACAAGTATTCTTTTGAATCTGTGCAATATGGAAAAGCAAAGCACATATTCAGAAATGCATAGCACCTACCTAACAACTTTTGATTTACCTATGTTTTTGCTAACCCTGGTGTTAAAGAAAATAATTAACCGAAATTATATACTACAAAGGGAGAATCATATTGTTTGCCAATTCTCTGTTCAATCTTGAATGGCTTTTACCTCCGTCTAGCCAATTAATGGGTTTTCACAGTTACTTGCTCACACATGCGTGCTTTAGAAATTATAGAAATGTTTTCTTTTTCGTACCCGTTCCCTAGACTGCAGGTGGCTATTTATTAACACCACAAGTGCTCAACAACGAAAGTCTAACTGAAGAAAATTAATTATCACATCAGGTGATGAATTTGCTTTATAAGATTATGTAAAACCACGTTAAACATAAAATGCTCTCGAAGGATTGATAATATTCATGGCAAAGCCAAACAGTCTTTTCTCCCAAGCCACTGAATCATGAACAGGGGCAATCAAGCTAAGGTTAGTGAATACTTCAACTGACATATCACTATATCAGTGCTATTACTTGTCACTTGTTTATCTCAGAAAAGCTACCAAAACGGACTCGAGCACACAAACATTGAATTATGAATGCACCTTCCAGTTTCATATTTTTAACCGACCACTCTAGCGAAGAATTTGCTACAACCCTACTCATCTTCAAAAGCAGTTTACATGAGAAGCACAAGAGATATAAATTTAGAAGCAAATTATTTAATTTTGTTTATTAGAGTAAAGATAATTGCTGAAATAAAAGCTAAGGTTGTTCAGAAAAAAAGATGCTCGCGAAACGGGCTCTGGATTTTAGTTGCAAAATCTCCATTCTAACTGTCATTTAGTGTTCAAAGAAGGTAAAAATCCAAAAAGACAGTTGCTTTCATTCACTGCAATAGAAGCACTTTCCCATAATCTTGAGCAACCTCATCCCAAATTTTAGAGTACACAAACAATTCCCTCGAATACTATCGAAAACATGAAACTTCTTCTACATATTCAGGCAACATCACAGCTCAACCAAAGAACATTTGAAGAACATGCGCCAGTTAGTGACAAAACCACCCAAAACATGCAAAAATATCAATGTGTATTGACTCAAGAAAAAAACAACAAAAAAACATCGCGAATTTACCTCACAACACAACTCCACACTGACCCACGGCGGTCGGAGCTCCGTCTGCCACCGTTTTTTTCACCGGAAATTGAAAGCGAGGATAATCACGGCGTTGAGCGACACCAGTGGAATATCATCCAAAATCTCCATAATCTTATATCCACCACCACATTTAGGACTGTAATGACACAAAAGCCCCTCGTTGACACCGCAAAGATCTGCCCTTTATCGTCTTTACACTCTGGTTTGATCTGAAACCATCCAACGGTTAATATTAAGATCCTCACGTTACGTCCCCTGCAGCCCGTCACACCTTGGTACTGTGGTGGTCGTCTTCTTCCAAACCCCCCCAAAACCCTCCTCGCTCTCTCTCTCGATCGATCGAAACACACACACACACACACACACACACACACAGAGTCACACAGTGCACTTACTAAAAATGCGTAGGCCCACAATCCCCATATCCGCATCACAGCTCCGTAAGCTCCTCCTCACTCGATGTTTCTCCACGCTGCCAAATTCTATCTCCACTCATCGACCACCGCTAGTGGCGGCGGCGGAGACCCCGCTCAACCGCTTGGATTTCGTTTCCCCTCGTTCCTTCACCGGGACGCACTCTTTGTATTTTTCTATCAGGCATTTCTCTTCGAACATTGATGACGGCGGCTCCAGCTCCGATAATGAAAAGCCACCACAGATTGGAGAGGAAGAGAAATCCATAGCTGAATTGTTCTCTAGCGAGCTCCAAAAGGACCAAGATTGGGAGCCTCTCCCTTTGCCCAAAAGGCTCGACCTTTCCTTCTCTCATATCACTATCAGCCCTACGTTGCTCCTAGCCACACTTAACATTTCCCCTGATGCGGGCCGTGCGGCCCTTGATTTCCTTAAATGGGTCAAAACCAGGGCCGGATTTCAGCCTAGCGACGAGGTTTACTCCTATTTCGTTAATTATTTTGGGAGGAGGAAAGATTTCAAGGCGACCCATGAAATTCTTGTGGATGGTCGCGGAGTGGCCGGGATGAAAAGTCTTGAGGCTCTCGTTGACCGGTTGGTTCGGGCCGGCAGGCCCACCCAAGTCGTGGCGTTGTTTGAGAAGATGGAAAATGATTACGGGTTTACTAGGAGCAAGGATTCTCTTAAACTGATTGTTTCAAGACTTTGTGACCATGGATATGCCGGTTATGCTGAGAAGATGGTGAAGGGTTTGGCTAACGAGTTCTTCCCAGATGAGTACATCTGTGATTCTTTGATTAAGGGATGGTGCGTGGATAGGAAGTTAAATGAGGCAAAAAGATTGGCTGATGAGATGTACAGAGGTGGTTTCGAACTGAGCACGCATGCATATAACTCGATTCTAGACTGCGTTTGTCGGCTTTGCAGGGACAAGGATCCCTTTAGGCTTCAAGACGAGGCCCAAAAAGTGCTGATTGAGATGGAAAGGAACGGGGTTCCTCGTGACGTGGAGACATTCAATGTGCTGATCACTAACCTGTGCAAGATCAGGCAAACTGAGGAAGCCATGAAGCTTTTCTCCAGGATGGGTGAATGGAATTGCTACCCGGATGAAACTACATTTCTTGTTTTAATAAAAAGTTTGTATCAGGCTGCACGTGTTGATGAGGGGGACGAGATGATTGATAAAATGAAATCCGCTGGATATGGGGACGCATTAAATAAAAAGGCTTATTATGAGTTTTTGAAGATTTTGTGTGGGATTGAAAGGGTTGATCATGCATTGAGTGTTTTTGCAAAGATGAAAAAGGACAGATGTGAGCCGGGCATGAAGACCTATGACCTGTTGATGGGGAAGCTGTGTGCTCATGGGCGACTTGACAGGGCAAATATGCTGTACAAGCAGGCTGAAAAAAAAGGATTACCCGTGGAGCCTAAGGCATATAAGGTGGACCCCAGATTTGCAAAGAAGAAGCCCGTGGCTGTGAAGAAGGAGAAAAAGAGGGAGACACTTCCCGAGAAGATGGCCAGGAAGAGAAGAAGTCTTAAAAAGCTGAGGTTGAGTTTTGTTAAGAAGCCGAAGAAGGGAATGCGCCGTGCTTACTGAGCACTTTTCAGCATTCATATGGTTGTTTAACAATCAGATATCGGGTAGAAGTGTGTTGAATTCCTCCACGTGAGTTTTCTGCTCTCTGTTATCTTTACGGATTCCAGTTTGGTCTTGACACTTTCCTTATTGTGTTGTTGATCTAGAAATGAATTGGTATTATTGATTTAAGTTTTACTATTTTTAATATCTGTATGATATTATCCAGATACATTCTTCTGCAGTGTAAGGTAATTTCATGAGAATACATACCGTTAAACTGAAAAATAATATGAATTGAGAAAGAAAAAAAGACCAACATGGTACAAGAAACATGTGTTATATTAACTATCTAATGCTTGATTTTATGATGGGTGTTAAGAGAAAGATAACATGTGGAAATGATATCTCTTTACATATATTTCATGAATTTGTTTTTGGAGTGTCACCAGTAGAATATTTGGAATTTGCAGGGGAACAGAACAAACAGATTGTTTTGGGACTTGCATTTTATTCTGGGAGAATGAAAAATTGAACCAAATAATGTTTCAGAGTTCTGTTGGTTGTTCAGATAAATTTGGTGATCTTATCTCGTGTTGTGATTCAAAGACTTGATCGTGAAATCAGCTTTGCAGTTATATTTTTTCGTCCTAATTTTGGTGTTGTGTTTATTGAAGGGTTTTGAATCTCTGTTGTTAGGTTAGCACTGCACGTGTTATCTTTAAGAATTCTAAACGATTTTGAGCATATGCTCGATCCTACAGAGTTGAATACATCTTAGAGGGGAGACATGGTTGACAAGGAATTGAGGTTTTGTATCGTGTGTATAGAAAGATTTTGTATTTCTGTTGTTATGTTAAGAAAGGTTATCTCTGGACTTTAAGAAATCTGAACGATTTTGAGCAGGACCTTGCTACACAAACACGTAATGAATGATACAGAGTTTAATATAATGCACACATGACGAGAGATCTTGTGATTTCACACCACATGATTCACATCAACTTTAAAATAAAAAATTCGTACTCTAAACATCAGTTATGTCAACCGTCGTGTCAAAATGTTATATACGAAAGTAGCACTTTTCTTTTGAGCATATGGCTGTCAAGTGGGGGAAGTGGTGCGATTTCATGGTATTGAAACACACTTTTACACGAGTCTAGTTGCTATTTAAGTGAAGTTCTATCCGAATAGGCACATTTGCTATTCAAACCTTTTATTCTTTAGCTTACTTTTTCCACAGATTCACCCCATTTGGCATTAGATCATCGAAACATCTCCACATAAAATGCTTTATCTTATTCTTTACCTTAAGGTTCCATGTTTTTCTCCACATTTTTCCTTTCTTTCTGTTGCAAGAATTGCTCTCTGAGTTGATCCTTCTGTTTTTTGTTCCCTCTGGTATGCTGATTTAACACTAAGATTTCCAGTAGGATCTCTGGATGCCACACCAAAGTATCTGCACGAAATTGAAACGATTCAAAGGGATATTCAGAATTGCCTCAAACCAAGTTTCGATGCTTCTCGACTTTTATCCAGCTTTTCCAGATCCAAGAATGATAACCCTTTACATTCAAGTGATTCAACTTCTCCCTTAACATTCTTGGCCCTTATCAATCAGCTCATAAGACCAATCTGGTCTAGCAAATATTTTCCCGAGCTGTTCAGTCTCATAAGGGCTCAAATTGTAAAAGCACAATAGGAAGTTAACTCAAAAAACATTATCTATCTATCTATATCTATTCTATCTATATATATCTATATCTATCTATATCTATATCTATATCTATCTATCTATATCTATACTATTATAAAAGTGCCAATAAATCTGTAAAAATATGATATGCCTACAATACCCTTATTTTTTCATATTTATAATAATATACTATTATAAAAGTGCCACTGAATCTGTAAAAATATGATATGCCTACAATACCTTTATTTTTTCATATTTATAATGTCATATTTGTAATTTAATACCATTCTATACTAATATTTTTAATTATTAAATAATATATAATTAGTTAAATGCCTAACCAATCAGAAACACATTCTAGCGCATCGCGGACCACCTTTTAGAGGACAATACCACCTTTTAGAGGACAATAGAGCTTCCTGTACACTTATTGAAATAAAAATATTGCCATTTGGTTCATGTGCACTTTTAATGTTTTCATTCTATTGCCTCTAATGAAATATTTTCGTTGAAACAATAAGTCTATTTTCTATGCGATAGAGCTTCATGTACGGCTTCTATTAAAACTTATTGTTTCTAATTTATTCATATTTATATTTAATTGCTAAATATTAAATTATATTTTTTATACTATGAATCTATAAATTATGCATTACATAGTTTTGTTAAAATGTGCCTTTTATTAAGTATGACAAACTGTTTTCAATAATATTCTTAAAAAGTTATTTCTTGAAAATTTTGAATTGTCAAAATATTCATACTAAACAAAGTATTTAATGCCATTAAGAATTATTGTTTCTTGAACATTAAAATATATTCATACTAAACATGATATTTAATGTCATGAATGTAAATTTCAAATTAACAATATGAGGTTATAATGTGTACAAATTATATTTTTAGCCAAAATAAATAAAAGTAATTAGCCATACTTTAAGAGTATTTATATGATATAATTTGAAAATAGTATAACTAAAAAGAAGTTTAAAATCTATCCTAAAACGACATTGTTTGTGTTAATGTAGACTATAACAACCATTTTTGTTTTTAGTCAAGTACTCTGAACGATGGTCTAAATTAACTATCACCATTTTTCTTTATAGGCTCGATAAAATCAATAGAACATAACATTATATGATAGTTATTGCACAAATAAAATTTTGTTCATTTGCTGTTTTTGGAAAAGATAATTACCGTTTCAGTATATGTCTATGTTTTTAAAGATCTTTTTGTGTTTCATAAATATTTTTATTCATCCAAAGTAGTCATTTTTGTTCTTTTTTTTGTTGGTGTAAAAAATAATTCTCATTTTGACTTAAATACGTGTTTTAAGAATTGTTTTACTTAAATGTATATATATATTTTCTGAAAATTCAAAAATTTGAGAAAAAAATTAGTATTAATTTAAAATTCCCTATTTATTTATTTATTAAAAAACAATTAATGCAATAGTTAAAATGTTATTTCTTATAATTAAATTACTTCAAAAAATTAATATTTTGAAAAATAGATCATTTATATACAATAAAAATAATTAATTATAAAATAAATTTTAACCAAAAGATGCGGTTAAACTAATAAAGATCATGTAATAATGTAAGAATAGGTTAGCAACATTAATATAGATAACCTAACATGTTTTATATTTTTAATGATTTTTTTTTCATAATTATAATAAAAATATAGTATAATAAAATTAATTGTTAGACTGACCTATCGATTAAAAATTCATACATTTCCAAAAAGTATACTACGCTCGAACTGAATCGTCATACTTTAAAAACCAACATAAATATAAGTTTGATATTTTATTGCATACTTATATAGTTTTGTTAAAAAAAAAAGTATGAAGGATCAATCCGCCTAATGGCTATTCGGTCTCATACAAGAATTTATGTGAACTGACATTTCAGCTTAATAAGTATTAATCAATAAATTTTATGATAAATTATCAAATACAACTTCAAATGAATAAAAAATTATATGTATTATGTAGTAACAAATTTTTAGACGAAAATTTGAACAATTTTATATGTTTATATATATATGTTTAATTCAACAAATTGTATAATATTATGGTTCATCTACATCACATATTTGAGGAAATTTAAAGGATTTGTTGTTATGAACTTAAGATTATTTTATGTGGTTTACTACACATTAATTGATTGATATTTACACAAAAATTATTTTAGAATTAAATGTGACTTGAAGGCCAAAACTATCGCTAATTATACATAATATAACTCTTTAATTTAAATCAATTTATTTCTGTAGTAAAAAATAAAATATAATTTACCAATTTTTTTAATGTTTTTAAATTATCTTTTAAGATTATTGAAATCTAAATCAGATTGCGCACCATATGTTTGTAATGGTTCGTGAAAAATATAATAGTATTTGAATGAAAAAAAAAACAAAAACTAAAATTTGACCAAAATTTGAATTTTAATATATATATTTATAACTCACGAAAATAGTTATAATTAATTAGATCAAGTAGAAAAAAGCATATGAAAACTATTTTCCTGAAAAAGGGAAGATAATATGAATAATATTTAAAAAGTTTGCTAACTTATGTCAATCGAATTATAATCGTTTTATTTAGTCAATAAAAATAATGACGAAGCAGGGTCTCATTCAATAAGATAAGAAAACAAAATTGTGAACTATCACATGCAATTATTCATGTAAAAGATTTTAAATTAGTTTTACAGTGTATGGTTTCAATAATAATGCAAAAAATCTTCTTGTGTTTGATTAACTGATAATAGTAATGCAAAAAATTTAATAGATTATAGAAAGTGAAAATATAATTTAACATCACATTATAATATAAATTACGTGTCACGTGCATCGCACGTGCAATACTTAAAAAAAATATGAAAGTTGTCTTAGTACATCTTCATTTGTCTTGAACAAATGATGGCCAAAATAAAATCCTATTATTATATTTTAAATAGAAGTATATTGTCTAAATAAAATCCTAATTATTATATTTTAAATGATCTATATATATGATTCTCTATCATAATCCAATGTCTCAAGTGGTGAAATGTCTTAAACAAATGATGGCCTAAATAAAATCCTATTATTATATTATATTTTAAATAGATGCATATCATATATGGTCTATATAAAATCCTAATTATTATATTTTAAATGATCTATTTAATTCTCTACTGGCTCAAGTGGTGAAAAATCTTTTTTTAAGGATTTTTTACCGCAACAAATTTCTATGGTATCTGTAAAATAATTAAATAGTCGTTATGGTAATAGCTTGTTGTTTCTCTTAATTCTCTTCAACTATTTTACACTTTATTTTTCGTTCCTCAGCAAAATAAATATGTTTGCACTCCCTATTCCTGCTTTTACAATTTGAGTCAACTCCGCATTATTTGACTATTTGTCTCTCATATACCACATTCAAAAATGTCTCTATGAACTAAAATTTCCTCGAAGCCATATTCAAATTTTGATACAAATGCCTTGAGAAATTACGTCTAGCTGGAATCGCACCGATACCGGAGGTATTGCCGTGGTATCGTCTGAACGTTTAATAGTTCAAAATTTTACCAAAACGTAACCGCACTACATTATTTGCAATGATGTTTGACGAAATGCACATTAATACTGATGAAAATGTACCATATGGAAATATCATATTTTTCGAAATGACGAAAATGTCACTACGTTAAAATATAAAAGTACTCATAATTATAGGAACATCACTGCTCGTTTGACCAAAGTTGGAGCGTTTGAGGAAATCTATCATTATATTAAAAGAATAATCTTTTTATGATTTCCCGCCAAAATCATTATTTTCCCTCCAAAATCATTAAATACCTGCCAAAATTATTATTTTCCCTCTAAAATCATTAAATACCCACTAAAATCATTATTTTTACTCTAAAATCATTAAATAAACAGTGATATAGTGTTAACAAAAAAAAAAACCACGCGCTGATTTTTGTGATGTTTTTCTTTTTCCTATTTTTTTAGGTTAACAAAATAATACATGCCATGGTTTTTGTGATGTTTCCATTTTTCCTATTTTTTAGGTTAACAAAATAATAGATATTTGTTTTTTTTTCCTATTTTTTGACCGAAGGTGTTTATTAAATTAGCCTTATAATATTTTAGTTATTTTAAACAAATTGTTTAGACATTTGTTTTTTTACATATTCGTCTATATATACACATATACATAATTGATGTTAAATTTAATTATTTGTAGACATACTTTTTTTACAAAATAGTCTAGAAATTTTTCTTTATATAATGTTAAATTCAAATGTTTTTTTTATATGTTTTCTTTCTAAAATTGTTTAGAAAAGTTGTAGGTGACTTCATATTTTTTAAAAATAATATAGAAAATTTTGAATACTTTTACATATACTAATATAATATTTTAGGTTTTTTTAATATTAAACATACAAATTTTATATTCTATTATATAAAATAATATAAAATTTATATTCTCTTATACAAAATCATTTTACATTGTCTGACCCCAACACTTTAATATATAATTATTATTTTTTTCTTTATCTTTTTAAATAGGATCAATAGTAGTTTCCACTTCCGTCATTGAGTGACTCAAACTCGAGCTATATTTATAATATTGTTAATGTAATATTGTTACCGTGCATCGCACGAGGTACACACTAGTTAGGATTAATTGCAGGCCTATTATCTTTCTTTATTGTGGTTGTTTTATTAATTGTTGATCATATGGTCACATGTCGTCACACTGTGTGTAGGGTACAAAAGATAGTTCCTCGTTAGTAAGATAATAAACCACCAATGTGTTCTGCGGCTGAAAATTGCCGAAGATGGATAAGGGCGAATCAGTAGCAACCATCATCAAGCACACCATCCCATTTTTCTCTTCAATTAAGAAGTAGTTTTGGGACGGCAACTCCAGGGCAGCCCCCTCGAATACAAACTCGATCTTCGAAAACTGAATTCCCCCCACGTCAGCGCACGGGAGTTCGTAGCACAAGTCCAAGTCCCCATCGGTCGGTTGAAGTCCGATTTGGCTGGTGAGTTCCTGGCCGACGGCCTCGAACGTGATCCTCTCGAGTTGCGTGATCGTTGTTCCCGAGTCGATGATCAGACCCACCGACCCGTCCTTTCTCCCTTTGAACGCAAAGGAGGAGTTGATGGGGATGGGGACCCCATTGATAGTGATCCCCTGGAGACGGAGATAGTAAAAGCCGCTGTTGAGAGCGCCTGGGTACCTGAGAAGCCGCGTGGTGGCTGCGCCCGGGGGCGCGCGGGCCCCATAACCCATAAAGAGACGGCCAGTCCCATTGGAGTCGAACGTGGGCAGACAGTAGGAGAACGCGTGCACGTCGTGTTGGGAGACGATACTGTCATCCCATCGGCCCAGGCCCAAGATCCTCGTGCCTCTACCTACTACACTACCGTAACTGTGAAATGCGCAGCCGAATAGGACTCTGAGTACCGGGACGCCCTCGAACCAGAAGGTCTCGGTGGCCAGGTCGCCTCGGCTTCTACTGCCATCTCCGTACGTGCGGTTGTACGTGCACGTGGTGCCAGGCAGACGTTTATTGCAGCCATCAGACTTGTACAATTTGCACTTCTTATTTGGGCATTTTAAGGCTACGTACGAGGTGGATTTCGCAGGGTCAAATAAGGGAGTCGGCTGTGCAGAACAGTTATCGCAGGGTGCGCATTGGGTCCATGTTAGGTCGCTGCCCGTGTCGATTATGACCGGGATAGGTACCGCCGAAGTGCCGATGAAGAGATATGCTAAATACTTGCCGTCGCCACTATAGCCAGTGAGGGCTTCAACGTCAATGGGGGGCTTCTTCTATGAGTGGTGGATACTTCTTGGAGCCATTGCAGCCTCTTCCTACTTCGGTGGAGAGCCAGCCGCAGGAGCTCGGTTTTGCTGAGATGTTTGTCGTGATCGACGTGCTTTACCATAGTGTTGAAGTTGAACTCCATTGTTTTTGTTTTTGTTTTTGTTGGGGAAGCTAATATTAATAACGAAGCTAGAACATTGAGGGCAGTTACAAGTAAAGTTGTTAAGTGTTGGAAAAATCAGTTATAAAACTTGGGTTTGACCCGGTTTTGACTGAATTTTTTATGGCTAAATATTTAATTTGAGTTGAATTAAATATTGTAGAAAAATTCTACGTT